TGTTCTAGAGATGGGTCTGCTGCTAGAACTCTGTGTGGCATTCATCTGGTCTCTGATCTGAGCTGCTGTTAACTTGCGATTTCTGAGGCTGGTGACTCGGATGAACTTATCCTCAGAAGCAGAGGTGACTCTTGGTCTTCCTTTCCTGGGTCGGTCCTCATGTGTGCCAGTTTCGTTGTAGCGCTTGATGGTTTTTGCGACTCCACTTGGGGACACATTTAAAGTTTTTGCAATTTTCCGGACTGACTGACCTTCATTTCTTAAAGTAATGATGGCCACTCGTTTTTCTTTAGTTAGCTGATTGGTTCTTGCCATAATATGAATTTTAACAGTTGTCCAATAGGGCTGTCGGCTGTGTATTAACCTGACTTCTGCACAACACAACTGATGGTCCCAACCCCATTGATAAAGCAAGAAATTCCACTAATTAACCCTGATAAGGCACACCTGTGAAGTGGAAACCATTTCAGGTGACTACCTCTTGAAGCTCATGGAGAGAATGCCAAGAGTGTGCAAAGCAGTAATCAGAGCAAAGGGTGGCTATTTTGAAGAAACTAGAATATAAAACATGTTTTCAGTTATTTCACCTTTTTTTGTTAAGTACATAACTCCACATGTGTTCATTCATAGTTTTGATGCCTTCAGTGAGAATCTACAATGTAAATAGTCATGAAAATAAAGAAAACGCATTGAATGAGAAGGTGTGTCCAAACTTTTGGCCTGTACTGTATATATGTATATATATAGCCTATACACATATATTCTGGGCCACTTTTTGGCATGAAAACAATGTTTTTGATCACAACGTTTGATAGCAAATGTTTAATAACAACTAACATTAATTACAGACACGGTGACGTTTGCTAGCGACATGTTTTTGCATTAATGAATTAACTTAGTTAACTTATAGTTTGAGATATGCTGTTTACTGCAGACCATAGTAGTTTATGTGACTAAATAATAAGTAATAAGTACGTATTTTGGAGGAGGCACTGATATTCAGCTCAGGGGCAGTCCACCTCCTCAGGCTCAGCCCAGGTGCAGTCCACCTCCTCAGGCTCAGCCCAGGGGCAGTCCACCTCCTCAGGTTCAGCCAAGGCTAATGAATCAGGTGAGGGAAAAACTCCATATATAACTCACCATATATATTTAATTTCTAGTCAAATTATCTCATTAAGATATACTAATATAAGATATAATTATATGACAAGGGACATGTTTTTCATTTTGGGTCCATCTCCATCCTCTGCTCTGTGCCTACTGTCCCCTCTGTGTCTGCTGCAACCTCAGCTCTACCTGGTAAGTTAACAACACAACAGCCTTTGTAATTGCTCAGTGTACTGCAGAACATTCTGAGATGAATAATTTTTAATATAAGACATAATCATATAAAAAAGGGACATGTTTTTAGACAAATGCAAATTTTGTTTTTATTATCCACTGTGCCCACTGTCCCCTCTGTGTTGCAGTTTATTTAAAACAAAAATAATAAAGCAGATTGTGTTTACAGTAAATGACTGGCTTATTTTGTAACTTTTAGTTGGCCTAGATGACATTTGGTATCCCACTTAGTACTATATCACTTTGAATACTAAGTGTAAACCCCAGGCTGCTCTTGTAGCTGAATTTGCTACCATTTCAGATTAAAACCCATAGATGGGTAAAACATGCCAGGCTGCTCTTTAAGGTTTTATGTATTGACTCTCTGTGTGGCCAGTAGGGGGAGTTGCTGACTTTGCCAAATATTAATTGAAAGATTTTTCAGCAAGTTTGCAAATCTGTTGTCTGCTTCCATGGCCTTAATCACTGTGGATTACAATCTAACTACAACAAAAAGTTCTCACATCTAGTTTTACAAGTGATGACAGAGTAGAACATGAAATAAATTACAGTAGGTGTGTGAATGATCAATAATCAGTATTATTGGCAGTAAGAGAGGGCCCCAAAATTAGATTTTGCTTAGGGCCCCATGTAGGTTTGGCCCGGCCCTGACTGGGACATGTAACAGTAAAATCACTGGACGGAGTTACACAGCTGCAGATCAATGTAAATACAAAGTAGCTTGTGAGTTCCTGGCGTGTGTGCTGCGTTGCCTGGCAACAGACTGGGGGAACTGTTTTTTTTGTTTTTCGCAGAGCTACATAACATGCCTAAATAATTTATTTCATCACCTTTTGTTAACATTTCCTTACTCAGCATTGCTGTTTAAGCTGTTGTTGAACTGTTGTATAAAAGCAATATCACACTCGAGGTCGTGATGTTGGACTGTATATCGTCACGGCTGTGATTGTCTTCTATGACCGAATCATAGCCGTGACGATATACAGTACAACGTCACAACCTCGAGTGTGATATTGCTTAAATACAAGGCAATTTTAGGTTTGCTTTCGTCTTACCTATGTGTCCTTACCATGCCAAGGAGTACTGGACAGTACTCCTTATGCTCCCATGACCTTTACCTACTTTCAGTCTCAAACGTCCGTACTGAGCTTGGGAAAAAGGCATTTGCTTATTCTGCCCCCACTGCATGGAACAATCTGCAAAATATCTTACAACTGGACTGCCTAGTTTCTCTAAATGAGTTTAAATCTAAACTTAAGGACTTAGAGGCGGCTTCAAGCTGTCAGTGCTCTTAATTCTGTGCAATGAACTAGTTTTTAAAATTGTTACTAATTTACTCTTTTTACTGTATGTACTTTTATGATGTTGTCCTTTTTATGTTGCCTGTAACTGTGTTTATTTCATGCTGCTGCCTGTCTTGGCCAGGTCTCCCTTGAAAAAGAGGTTTTTAATCTCAATGGGACCTCCTGGTTAAATTAAAAAAAAAAAAAAAAGATTATTGTCACCTTAACCCATATGTATACTATAATATATTAACATATACCTACAACCGTAATATATAGCCGTAATTGTAACTATAATATTATTACTTTCATTAATGTTTTTGTAAGCTACTGTCATTACCTGCATCTCTCTCTCTCTCTCTCTCTCTCTGTCTCATTGTGTCATACGGATTACTGTTAATTTATTATGCTGATCTGTTCTGTACGACATCTATTGCACGTCTGTCCGTCCTGGAAGAGGGATCCCTCCTCAGTTGCTCTTCCTGAGGTTTCTACCGTTTTTTCCCTGTTAAAGGGTTTTTTGGGGAGTTTTTCCTGATCAGCTGTGAGGGTCATAAGGACAGAGGGATGTCGTATGCTGTAAAGCCCTGTGAGGCAAATTGTGATTTGTGATATTGGGCTTTATAAATAAAATTGATTGATTTCTTGATGAATTGCTAACAGCAGCTGTTCTTCACTGAGTTAGCTGTTAACTGCTAACTGCTGCTGTTCTTCTTTGAGTTAGCTGCTAACTGCTAACAGCTGCTGTTCTTCTTTGAGTTAGCTGCTTACTGCTAACAGCTGCGGTTCTTCTTTGAGTTAGCTACTAACTGCTAACAGCTGCTGTTCTTCTCTGAGTTAGCTGCTAACTGCTGCTGTTCTTCTTTGAGTTAGCTGCTAACTGCTAATAGCTGCCGTTCTTCTTTGAGTTAGCTGCTGACTGCTAACAGCTGCTGTTCTTCTTTGAGTGGCTGCTAACTGCTAGCAGCTGCTGTTCTTCTTCTTTGAGTTAGCTGCTAACTGCTAACAGCTGCTGTTCTTCTTCTTTGAGTTAGCTGCTGACTGCCAACTGCTGCTGTTCTTCTTTGAGTTAGCTTACTGCTAACAGCTGATATTCTTCTTCTTTGAGTTAGCAGCTAACTGCTAACAGCTGCTGTTCTTCTTTGAGTTAGCTGCTAACTGTTAACAGCTGCTGTTCTTCTTCTTTGAGTTAGCTGCTGACTGCCAACTGCTGCTGTTCTTCTTTGAGTTAGCTTACTGCTAACAGCTGATATTCTTCTTCTTTGAGTTAGCAGCTAACTGCTAACAGCTGCTGTTCTTCTTTGAGTTAGCTGCTAACTGTTAACAGCTGCTGTTCTTCTTCTTTGAGTTAGCTGCTGACTGCCAACTGCTGCTGTTCTTCTTTGAGTTAGCTTACTGCTAACAGCTGATATTCTTCTTCTTTGAGTTAGCAGCTAACTGCTAACAGCTGCTGTTCTTCTTTGAGTTAGCTGCTAACTGTTAACAGCTGCTGTTCTTCTTCTTTGAGTTAGCTGCTGACTGCCAACTGCTGCTGTTCATCTTTGAGTTAGCTTACTGCTAACAGCTGATATTCTTCTTCTTTGAGTTAGCAGCTAACTGCTAACAGCTGCTGTTCTTCTTCTTTGAGTTAGCTGCTAACTGCCAACTGCTGCTGTTCTTCTTCTTTGAGTTAGCAGCTGACTGCTAACAGCTTCTGTTCTTCTTTGAGTTAGCTGCTGACTGCTAACAGCTGCTGTTCTTCTTCTTTGAGTTAGCTGCTGACTTCTAACTGCTGCTGTTCTTCTTCTTTGAGTTAGCTTACTGCTAACAGCTGATGTTCTTCTTCGAGTTAGCTGCTAACTGCTGCTGTTCCTCTTTGGGTTAGCTGCTAACTGCTAACAGCTGCTGTTCTTCTTTGAGTGAGCTGCTAACTGCTAACAGCAACTGTTTACATCACCCACAGTGGGTCGCACACAGAACACTTTGTCAATACCTCACACCTGTCCTGTCCATGTTCGTCCTGCTGTCTGTCCCTTTGTCTCGGTGCTGTTACTACCCTTTGATTAAAGGTGAGACAACTCTGTCCCTCAATCTGTGTCGGACCTTTTACACAGAACGGCGACACAGAACAGTGAAGTGTTGGACTGACCTTGGAGACAGAGACAGACGGTGTGGATGGTGGACTCTGACGTCATCAGCAGATATTCTGATGTCAGCGTGCAACAGATCTGGGTTGAGCGTCGGTGGGCGGAGCTTCTGTAAATGTCTCCTGAGACTGTTGACACCTGTTCGTCACACAGGAAGGTGAAATATGGAGAGAGGAAAGCTGTGACTGAAAGCTGTGTCACAGCCCCACCTGGTGGACGTCAGAGGAAGTGCACACAAGCCAAACACAGCACATCTGTCAGGCTTTTATTTTGAAATCCAGTGATAATCCATGATGACACTGACAGTCACAGATAAGTGTGTGTGATGTCACACAGCACGCTCCGCCCCCCCAGGTGACCTGTTGTAAAGTTCAGTTTAAATACAAATCTGGGCATGGAGGCTGTATGAGCCCTCTGATTGGCCGACCCTGCAGTATGTGGGCATCAGCTTTGTAGCGTCTTCCAACCATTGTCTTTTATATTTAATTTCATATAAGTTTTTCCTGGAGATGATGGAGAATCAGACAGGATCAATAGTTATCACAGAACAATACTCAACATAAAGAAAAACATCAGCCGTCATCACTGTTCAATAGCCTACATCAGTCAATCAATCAATCAATCAATCAATCACATGAAAAAAAAACACATCACATCTGCTCAGATCCACATATTCAGTCACTATGGTAACCGGCACAGTCATGTGTGGGCAGGGCTTAGCCTGACCTCTGACCTGAGCAGAAACAAACACAAACCTTCACATTAAAAACGGGAGTCATGGCCCTTTAACCCGTTTGAGTGGGGCCCCGTCCCCTGGTAGCTGTCAGCCACCGAAACAGGAGAGGCGGGGCTTCCACTGATGCTACCCACGCTAACTAATCTACCCACAATTCATTGTTCCAGTGCAACAGCTCAGCTAACTAATAACTAACTATGGGTTAGAGTGCAACAGCTCAGCTAACAGGCTAACACGCTAACATCTAGCCTAGCATGGTTCATTAGACACAGTGCACCTGATCAAGCTAATGGCTAATGAGCAGCTGATTGGTTCAGATTGTCGTTTGATCCCTGATAAAACTTGATATGTTATTCAGTAAAAATCAGTTCAGAGCTCAAAACTTTGATATTAAAAAATATTCAGATCTCTGGAGCTAACGTCGGAATGCCGTCTGTCAGCAGCTGTGGGCGGGGCCTCTTATTAGAATTATCAGCTGGCTGCAGTCTGCAGAGGAAATATCAGCAACATGAGTTTTATTACTCCGAGCGGAGAGATGATAAAGTGTAACTAACAGCTGCTGTTCTTCTTCTCTGAGTTAGCTGCTAACTGCTAACAGCTGCTGTTCTTCTACTGTGAGTTCACTGCAAACTGCTAACAGCTGCTGTTCTTCCTGTTCTTCTTCTTTGTGTTAGCTGCTAACTGCTAACAGCTGTTGTTCTTCACTGAGTTAGCCCCTAACTGCTAACAGAGGCTGTTCTTCTTTTTTGAGTTAGCTGCTAACTGCTAACAGCTTTTGTTATTTTTCTTTGAGTTAGTCACTAACTGCTAAAAGCTGCTGTTCTTCTTCTCTGATTTAGCTGCTAACTGCTAACAGCTGCTGTTCTTCTAATCTGAATTAGCTGCTAACTGCTAAAAGCTAACCGCAAACAATGCCTGAGAATTTCACAACATCACATAAAAAAATTTACAGGTAACACTTGTAAAATTTCAAATATCATGCAGGAATTTAACAACGAAAACTGACAGAAATGTCACAAGAAAATATCTAAAGATTTCATGAACAAATCTGAAAGTCAAAATATTTTTAGGATACAAAAGTTGTAATATCTTAAAATAAAGTTTTAATATTTTTAATAATAAAATTTGAAAAATCAAATTTCAATATTTCCATAAGAAAAGTCATTACATTTGAAGAAAGTCTGAATTTTTAAAGAGCAATAAAGTTCATAACATTTCAGAGAGAAACTTTGACAACAGGCTAATGTGACGTCATCATGTTGGTTTTAACGTATCGTTTAATGATGGAACATGACCCTGATAAAAACTCACTGTGTTCACACGCGTGCTTTTACACTCCAACAGAAACCTGATTGGTTAGTTTGGTCTTGTCTCAGCACCATGACTCCACCCACAGCTGCTCAGCTCTGCCTTCCTATTGGTCCGAACTCCTGATTGTCATAATCAAAGCATTGATTGGTGATTGGAGGTTTTATTGCTCTCACAGTGACCTCAGTGTTCACTTTGCTGGTTTCAATAAAGCTGGCTTCATTCAAATTAGGTGCGTCTTAATAAAGTTTGATTCAAATCAAAGCTACGCTAATAAAGTTTTTTTTTCTGTGTTCAAAGCAGCTAACAGAGCTAACAGGCTGACTGTAGCACCGACTGGAAGACGTTTACGACATCATTATCATCGTCATCATCATCATCATCATGTTTTCCCAGCATGCCTTTGGCATCCTCAGCCACCTCTCTGACCTGTGACCCTGAGATTCATGTTGCTATGACAACCATCCAACCGACATGATGTTGTGATACTTAAACTACAACAATCAAACACCTTCATCTGCCCCATCATCCTCATCCTCACAGTAGTGCAGTAAAGACACAGTGTCTGTGTGTGTGTGTGTGTGTGTGTTACAGTTTATATACAGTTTGGGTGTCTACATATATCAGAGTCTGTTGGATGTGTCTGATGGTGTGTGTGTGTGTTATATAAATATATGCGTTATATATAAATAAGTGTATATATATCAGTGTTCGCTGGACATGTGTCTGATGGTGTGTGTTATATAAATATGTGTGTTATGTATAAATGAGTGTATACACATATGTATATATATGTGTGTGTATATATACATATATATATATATGTGTGTGTATATATATATATATATATATATATATATCAGTGTTCGTTGGGCATGTGTCTGATGGTGTGGAAGATCCAGTCCATCTTGGTGCTCCAGCCTCCATGATGAGCGTCGTTCATCTGTTTGGTGAAATACTCCAACGCCTCCTGCTGGCTTTTCTCTGAGAGACAGAGACAGGTGGACAAACAGACAGACAGACAGACAGACAGACAGAGACAGAAGAAGATGAGACATTATCTTTGAGAGTCAGAGGATTTCTGATGAAGTCGTCAAATGTGGAGGTGAAGCTTTGTGTGGACGTTTGTGCCAAATTTGAGAAAACTCCCTCAAGATGTTCGTGAGATAATGTGATAACAAGAATCTGATAGATGGGGTCACAGTGACCTTTGACCTCTGACCATCAAAATCTTATCAGTTTATCTTACGACTGTGTAATTCAACTGGACGTTTGAGCCAAATTTGAGGAAAATTACGTGTTTTTGAGACATCGTGTTCACATTGGTCTCATTCTCGTGAAAATGATATCTTAAGACAGTATGACAGAGTTCTTCAAATCTGGCACAAACGTCCACATGCACTCAACAGTGAACTGATTCCATTTTGATGGTCAAAGATCATTGTGTAGCACACAGCCTGAAAAACAGCAGGCTGCACTTTCTTTCTGTGCAGAGGAGGATTTGGTGAGTGGCTGTGACAGCAGAGGAGTGGGTGTGATGGTAAATGTGGGGTGTGGTTAAAACAGAGCAACAGATAACGATTGCTGACTGCAGACACCTGTGACGTGTGAAAAGAAGACAACAGGTTCGTTCGAGATGAGCCAGTCCTGCGCAGATTCGATCACTGGCGATCGGCGCACAATGCATGCCGGTTAGTTTTGTGTCTGACTTCATCCCGACTTTCTCTGACGTATTACAAAAGTGGACAGCGCAAGAGCGAGGTGGCCGCAGTTTTTAGAGCCAGGTGCTGCAGTTGCTCTCCACCGACTGCACCGCCTGGCTCTCACCTGATCTAACAGCTGATTGGTTCAGATGTCGACTCAACAAGATGACGTTTTAGATAAACTACTCATTTTTGTTGACTTCTAGAGATTAAGATTGTATTTGTCTGATCTGAAGGTTTATTCTGTGAACAGAAAACATGTTGTGTGACTGATGGTGAAAACAAACTGATATATGGGTCTGATCACTTTTTTAATGAACTGACATCATTCCAGACAGGATGTAAGTGTGTCTGTGACTTCCTGCACGGACTGAAGGCTGCTGGAAACTGTCGGGAAACTGTCCGACTT